AGTCCTATACTGCTTTGAAATATTGTTTTGAAATTTGCCTCAACAGTCGCTATAACCTGCGTGCTAGGATTAAACCAGTCCTTGGAATTTTTGACAGGTTACCAACATGCGGAGAAAAAAACTACAAAATATACATAGGAAAATGATATTCCAGGAACGTTGCTAATGTTTTACTTTCAAAAGGCTTTTCGAGGTCGGACAGCTCTTCAGATGCAAACAGGTTGTCAAAGCTACTGCGGTCCACGGAACGACGTCCTTAATTTATAGATGATAGTAGTTTGCTCTTTTTTTTATATAAGAAAATGGATAACATATTGATATAGTAATTAAAACTGGTTCATCTACTAACTAAACAGTTAATCGGTTATTTCCTTTCAAAAAAATAAAACCGACCTGTCATCATGGAGACGAAAGCTGATAAAGTATTGTTCTAAACAATTTAGAAGGACGTCTTTATATATTTTTTGTCATATAAAGAATATATATTAACTGGCAGAAAGAGGTCCAAACCATATTTTAAGGCAGTGACAACAATATTAATTGCCGGAGGTCCTTATTGAGGATTGAAGCAGAACAGGTGACTCGAACTTTAACAAGCAATTTTAACTGACACTTTGCGCCTCGTTCTCATTTACTTGAAACAGTTTTCGAGTCAATCATCCATCCATTATACAGTGCAAATGCAGGTATCATATGTATAACCCAGATATATATGTTTTTATTATATATGGCAATAAGTTTACATTATCAGTGGATGCGGTCAGGTCAAGTTTTACTAGTATAAAACCTGAAGTTACAGAATGTGTTCTTAATTGTACGTCCTCCGAAGACGTGATATTTTACGTCGTTTCGGCCATTTTTTGATTTTTTTTGTAATAATCAACACGAATGTTGACGCCTTATCTTAGTTGTCGTTCGAGTGTTCATCAAAATTTTAAAACAAACTCATTAAATACTGAAGTTTAGAAAATAGTAAACAAAACTAGGTAATCGATTGTTTTATTAACGTCACCATTTTAAGCGAGAACGTATGTTCTGGAATGCACATATATAGTTTCCGTCCTATGAAGTGAAATCATGCATAACTAGCTATTCCGTCTTTGCGTATTGCAGAGTTATCTTCTCTTGTGAACAGGTATTGATTGCTACGTCATTGGTTTGTGTGAGAAAATTATCAAAAATTGATGACGTTACTCTCACAAACAAATGACGTAGCAATCAATCCCTGCTTACAAGAGAAGATAACTCCGCAATACGCAAAGACGGAATAGGCAATCTCTATTGTATTATCAACGTAATTTCAAAAGAATGAGGTTTTTTTTAGAGTTTCATATTGATGTACATCTATGTTATAACGGGGGGAAAAGTATTTAAGAATCAGCCTTGATGGAAATATTCTTTTCACGTTCCTTGGAATAAAGAAGAAAACAACTTAAAACATATCATTTGAGCATCTTTGAAGTTAGTGTACAGTTAGAGTATGGGGTTGAGGGATATAGCAAGTTTCTTGTGTCCCGAGACCAGGTCTATTTCCCGAGGCGAAGCCGAGGAAAATAGGCATGGTCAAGGGACACCAGAAACTTACTATATATGCCTCAACCCCATACTTTAGCCGTTTTATTATACCGATACACACTGGAGAGATAGTTTTAACTAAAAAATATTTGTAAATCATAAGCTGTTTAGCTTCACGTCCCAAATACCCTTTTGATGGCAATGGAGGCAAATTACTTTTATATAGAGTAAATAAAGTAGAAGTGTAATAATCCGAATTATTCTGACGTTTTATCGAAAAAAAATTATATCGATTTATCCACGCCAGATCGATATAAAAGTCGATAAAAAAATCAGAATAATTCGGACTACTTTGAAGTGTAATATCGACCTTAAGATCGTGCAACATTGAGTATGGTCAATCACAAGTATAGCAAAACCAACTAAAGTACGTACTATACAAATTTTCCGGCTGTCCTCCATCACAAAAACCTGGCACCATTGCTGTTTATAACGTAAAACACAAACAAACCAAACTATGCTACAATAAGTGGGAGTGACAATTTCGATTTTCTTACTGGGATTTTCCTTTCAAGATGAGTAACATCCCTTAGAGGCGGCCAAGTGCAAAATATTCGTTTCAGATCACATTTATACAGTTTATTAGCTCACCTGGTCCGAAGGACCAAGGTGAGCTTATGCCATACCGTGGCGTCCGTCGTCCGTCCGTCCGTCAACAATTTCTTTAAACGACTTCCTCTTCTTTACCACTGATTGGAATTCAACTAAATTTGACTTGAAGCATCCCTAGGTGGCGGGGATTCAAAATTGTACAAATGGTGGGGCTGAGGGGCGGGGCCAAAAGCGGGTAATTTGGCTATATTGCTACAAACAACCACTTCTGTAGAACTATGCACTGGATATCGATCATAGTTGATCAAAAGCATTCATGGGAAGCAGGGATTAAAAATTGTACAAATGGTTTGGCTGACCCCCAGGGGCTGAGGGGCGGGCCAAAAGGGTTTTTTGGCTATATTGCTTTAAGCGGCTTCTTCTCGTGAACTGAGTGATGGATATCAACCATATTTGACTGGAAGCATCCCTAGGTGGTTGTGATTCAAAATAGTACAAATGGTGGGGCTGAACCCCCAGGGGGCTGAGGGGCGGGGCCAAAAGCGGGCAATTTGGCTTTATTGCTTTAAGCGTCTTCTTCTCGTGAACTGAGTGATGGATATCAACCATATTTGACTGGAAGTATCCCTAGGTAGTGGAGATTCAAAATTGTACAAATGTTGAGGCTGACCCCCAGGGGGCTGAGGGGCGGGGCCAAAAGCGGGCAATTTGGCTATATTGCTACAAACAACTTCTTCTGTAGAACTATGCACTTGATATCGATCATATTTGATCAAAAGCATTCATGGGAAGCAGGGATTCAAAATTGTACAAATGGTGTGGCTGACCCCCAGGGTGCTGAGGGGCGGGGCCAAAATAGGGCAATTTAACTATATTTCTACAAACGACTTCTGTAGAACTATGCACTGGATATCAACCATATTTGTTTGGAAGCAACCCTAGGTGGTGGTGATTCAAAATTGTACAAATGGTTGGGCTGACCCACCAGGGGGTTGACGGGTGGGGCCAAAAGTGGGCAATTTGGCTATATTGCTATAAACGATTTCTGTAGAATTTTGCCATGGATATTAATGGGAGGCAGGGATTCAAAATTGTACAAAAACCCTTGTACATTGTCCCTGTGTCATAACTTTAAAACGGTTAAGATCCCCACCCCAGAACAAATACAAATGCTTGGCATAAAGAGACAAAAGTAGTCATAGTATTAGAATAGACCCTGGGGTCTGACTGAACCCCCAGGGACCTAGTTTCTTAAGTCACAGTTGAGATCCACACCCTATAACCATGCATAGATACAATTGCTGAGTATAAAGAGATGAATGCACATATGCTTCCAGGATGGCCTTGGGGTCTGTCCCACCCTTGGAGACTTAACCAGGGGCGTTTCTAGGATATTTGAAAGAGGGGGCGTAGAATAAAATCTTTCGCCGAACGGAGCGAGGCAAAAAATAATTTGGACCTTTTTTTTTTGCTAAAAAACATTAAAAAAAAAATGAAATGCACTAATGTAACGGTTCCTGACTTGGAGCATGTATATTTTATAGTTAAAGTGTCAAGGTTTGACATTTTGTATGCCGAATTCAATGATAAATTTCGTTTCTCCGCCGTATTCGACTCTATACGGTGGAGAAACGAAATTTTACGGATCACCCATCAGATGGGGGAATCAGTATAAAAAGAAATCAGAGTATGTGTTTAATTAATGAATACGATAAATTGCCATATTCAATACAATAGTAGCAGATTTTTTTGATTTTTTTTTGAAAAGGGGGGTGGCGTACGGCAATTACGCTCTCACCTGGACCCGCCCCTGTAAACCCCTGGGTTATAACTTAGAAATGGTTAAGATCCCCACCCCAAAACTATATATACAATTGTTGGGCGTAAAGGGACGAATGCAGTCATGATATTAGAATTGACCCCAGGGTCTGCCCCACCCTTGCAGACTTAACCCCTGGGTCATAACTTTGAAACGGTTGAGATCCCCACCCCAAGACTATAAATACAAATGCTGGACAAAAAGAGACGAATGCAGTCATGATATTAGAATTGATCCTGCATGGGGTCTGGCCATAACCCTAGGGATCTAGTTTCTTAGTCACAGCTTGGAAACAGTTGAGATCCCTACCCCATAACCATATATTAAATTGCTGGGCATCTCTTCTTGTATATAGACACATTTTTTTATTTTTTTTTAAATCTTGTGGGAGCATTGATAACATTTTTTTATATATATTTTTATTTTTATTTTTTTCAACAGTACATTAAACATAACACATCATATTTCAGTCTCACATTCTTAATTTTCACACAAGTTTTTTGTTTGTCTTGACTTTTTTTTACATTCTTATATTATTACATCGATTTGGGTACCAATGTAGAAAAACAATTATTTTCTTTGTAAGTTTGAAACAAGATACATAGAATAATATTGTATGCATTGTAGTTGAGAAGCAAACAAATACACAAAAAAACAAGAAAAAAACCAGTTTGACTATTTTCACATGTTGAAACCAGGATATTAGGTGTTATGTACCATTGTATTGTTTTAAAAGAAGATATAGGAAAGAAAAGAGTAATGAATAGAGAGAGGGACAAGAAAGAAAAGGAAGGTTGGAGAGGTGTCGAAGGATTTGACAAGGGCTTATTTTGTTGGCATTTCGGTATTCTCCTATTTCAGTGTTTATAATAGTTTAATTGTGGGGTTATTATTAATGCAACAATGCGAAACTTTTTAAGCATTGATTGCAAAAATCAGTTACACATTAAACACGTATCTTTTTTCTCCTATGGACCTATGCTCTCCATAGCTACATTGAAGAGTAATTAAACTGTTGTGTGTAACCTAGGAATCAGGGGAGGTAAAGTTCACCTTACTACGCATGCGTACTTCGTGCCGAAACAGCCATCTTTACCGCCAGCGTGGGTTCCGTGTTCACAGAATTTGAAGAAAAGAAATTTGCTTTTGTGGTGAGAAGGATCAAAGACATTGATACGACTTATATACAATAAGACACAATGGGAGATGAAAGTAAAATGTACGTTGGAAATGTTAGCTTTAACACAACAGAAGATGATTTAAGAGATCATTTCGAGCGATTCGGAACCATTGAGTCATGCAACATTGTTTTGGACCGCGAAACTAATCGGTCAAGGGGATTCGCATTCATCACATTTAGCGATCCAAAAGCAGCCAACGATGCGGTCGCAGAATCACATACGCTGGAAGGACGTTCTCTTAAAACGTCGATAGCGGAATCGAAGAGGGGTGGTGGCCGAGGTAGCTATGGCGGCGGTGGCGGCTATGGAGGTGGCGGTGGCGGCTATGGAGGAGGTGGCGGCGGCTATGGAGGAGGTGGCGGCTATGGCAAACGTGACAACTACCAGCAACAATCCTATGGAGGAGGGGATTCCTACGGCGCAGGTGGTTACGGAGGAAGCAAAAACTACAACGACGGACGTGGTGGTGGCAGCAGAGACGGGGGCTACCAATCGGGCGGCGGGCGAGGTGGCTACAGTGGCGGCTGGTAGGTGAATACAACACGTGTTTTATGGTTGTACTCGCTCCCATCTGACTTTATCACCAGCATCGCTCCATATCTTATATATATTGCCTATATATATAAATCAGAGCGACAGACTTGATGACATTAAATGTTAACTGGCTTAATAATCAGTTAAACTTCATTTCTTGTATTGGATCTACAAAGAAAAACTTCGACTTTAACATTAGACAATAATTGATGGTTTCCATAAAATTCCATTTGAAATAGTTATTATAATAAAAAGGTTGTACATAGATTATCGTGATTTCTTTTTTAGTTCACTAGACTAGACCGAAAACTTCAAAGGCTGAGTAAATGTTAACCCAAAGCACATAATAATCATGTACTTCAATATCTTTGGACCTGATATTTGCAGAACTATATTTATTTAAAACCATAGATTTTTCTTAAAGTTGGAATTGTTCTCATTGCCCCTTGGATCTACTATTTTAAAATACGGCCAAACAAAAAATAAAATTGTTTCTTGTAACATGTTTGAAATTGAAAAAAATCTGTACTGGGAACATTTTATTTTCAAATACAATTGTATTTGGTTTATATAGAAGAGTGATCATGATCTTGATTTCAACAGTGCTTCTTTGAAAGTTGATAGAAAATTTAAGGGTAGGTTAAAAAAAATGGAACATAGGGTTAACGGAAACAACATATTTTTTGTTTGGCCAAATCAGGGTGTACAGCTCGGTAACCAGTTCATTGTTCTTGGAAAACATTTTTGCATATTTCTTTTTTTTTTTGATCTTGCAGTATATATATGTAATGTGCTGATATCATTGTTATGCCTAGATTTTTTTTAATGAAAGTACTCTGGTTCCAAAGTATCTTTGTTACGTCTCTATGCCACATGTTTTTGCAAGATATGGAATAAAACTAGAAGCTGTATTGAGTTTGTATTCATCGTAGAAAGGCACAATTTCATAAAATTAACTAGAACTATATTGGCACACTTGAGCATAATTTGATCGGTCATGTGCAAAAGTGTCCTGACTGGGGTGCAGTTAGTCCATCAGCATAACATTGAATATTTTTTGCAGTGTAATTTTCAACTATCAATTGCAATAAAGAAGTTAATAAAACAACTCCTTTTAATGGAACCCCATTTTAATATTAAGACAATCTACATACACTGTCTAGATATCAGCATTGTTTAGCTGCAGTATCATTTTAAAGTCCTGGTATTGTTGCTATAGGAAATTAATCTGAAAATATTATGTTTGCAACAACAAAAGAAGGACCCATTTCTTCAACAAAATCTCTTTAGTATTATGAACATTAATTACAACAATAATTTATACATATATATGCTCATACACATCGATATATACAGTATGAACAAAAAAGGAAACTGCTCCCAAAAAGTTGTAGGCAAACCATCAAACCATCAGACAAATGGGTTATATTTACATTAAAGTGTAAAGAGAAAGGAAAATTATTCACTCTGTTGTCTGTTGAGAAATTTGATAATTTGAATTTATATTTTTTAAGTTTTGTAACATACTCGTGTTTTACAAATGATGTAGATTTATTTTTATGACCATTCAAGAACTGGGTCGAGCAACTTGTGCAGTATCAAAATATTGATTGGAAATAACTAGGAAATGAGTGTTCCTTCTCTTGTATTGTAACAGTGATAAATCAGTCCCATGAAAATGTACTGTGCTTGTAATGAGCTTACTTCCATGTGTAATCCAAATGCAATTGATGTATATTATATGGGGGAAGATATGTTCTGGTTTATTCGTGTTAGTTTTAATACTAAGTTAATGTTTGGAAAGCAAAAACAAAATGAAGAAATGCTGTAATACTAGATAAAAATAAAAAGTGATTAGTAATTATATGCACTGTGTTCATTTTTATATAACAAGGAAGTAGTAAATATAAAAGCATACATGCTTAACTTATGTTTCAATCCTGTGTTTGATACAGATAAATCTCGAAGGCATGCAGCTTCACCAGATTTATCAGACAATGCTATCAATAATTCTACCGTGATAATATGTAACAACACTCCTTGTTGGTTTAAAATCATGTATTATTGGGCAACAGACATGTACTTGATTATTCTGTCTGCTTTAATGACCTTAGCTGTCCTGAAGTGCTTTTAAGTTTGTTCAAATGAATGACCTTAACCCACTTTTAAGGTCACATGGATCAAATTTGTTAAAACTTTTAAACAATTTCCTCTGGAGGCCTATAGTGAGGAAACTGGGCATGTAGCTGTATAGTGCACAGTAAAGCGAAGTTTAGGATCTTGAGAGTGAGAGCATAAAACAAATCCTGTTCGCACGGGCAAAATAAAAACCAACCTGATTTAAAATAATTGGACATCTATTTCACATTGCCTGTGATAAGCACTGATAAGGAAGACACAAAAACACATACTATTACAGTGCTATTGGGTAGAATCTGAATGAATAAGGTTAACATGAATATTGCATGTTAACTCAAGTTCATGTAAGTCATTCCAGTCAAATTAGTTTTGATCTGTGATGTCTTGTTGCAAGTAGGGTAATTAAGACACAACCAAAGTGATACTTTGTGGTTTATTGTTTTTGTAGTGTTATTACCTAAATTTTACAAAATCCTGTTCCTTTATGAATTAGGAAAATATAGCATTATTTGTACTCAATTGGAAATATATTCCTCAGTGTTTGTCATTTTGGGAAAATAAGGCACTATTTTATTTAGCAAGGGGAAACCGCTTGTATTCGTCAGTAAAATTGAACAAAATAAAAATCACTTGCAATTTAAATATGAATGCCAAAGCCCTAAAGTCTTAAATCATTTATTAGGTTGTGAAGGGAAATCAGATGAGAATAAATTAGTATAATTCAAACAATTTAACATAATCATTAGATATGTTCAAAATGTTATCCTGTTTGATAAATTGATATATAGATACAATTGTTTAAATGTAATCGTGTTATACAAAAATACCATATGACAAGTTTTCAAAAAATTAATTTTAATACACTACATGTAAAATTGTATATATATGAATTGCTAATTTGCTATACCACAATAATTAATATTAATAATAATTATTTAAATGCAAAAGGATGTTCATGTTTGTGGCATGGTTGATGAAGAATTAAAGAGAAACTGTCCTGTGACTGCGCTCTGGCTGGATCAAGTTACGACCAATTCATAGATTGGTTATGGGTAACTTTTCATGTCGGTGTTCTTTCAGGTACATAAGACAAAGAAAGAAAAGGTAGGACTCCTGACCTTTGTGATGAGGTTATGGGTGTGACCCCTGACCTTTGGTTAGGTTGTGAAGCCCACCCCTGGAAGCATGAACCAAGTCGGAGAGACAACCCCTGTACAGGGGATTGCATAAAATGCTGCTGAGCAACCAACTCGACCTGTTGCAGAAACCTCTGCAAGTGGAAGAAACTGTAAATGAAATCAAATTGTGGAAGATAGCCAACACAAGGATAAAACTTAAATTATCTGAAGTTATTGGTAACTAGGGTTAATATTAGGTAGCTGCACTGAGTGTGAAACACTAATAATATAATTACAACATTTTGACAAATGTGCAAATCTATATCATATTCCAAGATGTCACTGGGTTATTACAAAGTTCAGTACAATCATTGGAGTGATTCCTTCAAATAGAGTAAAATAGAGCATTGAAATTTATACAGCTACAGTAAACCGCCGGTCAGTTCGAACACACTTTTTGAACAATAAAAATAATAATTTTCTGTCTAGTGATAGTTCGAACCCTGCTTACACACGTTTCAGATTTTTCGAACATTTTTCGCAATAAGGCCCCATGATTTTTGCCTACTACTCTTTATTTTAGCAGCTATAATTTCATGTAAATCAAACAGGATTGACAATATTTATTTAATTTTGTTGGCACTGACCGAAGGTTTACCATATTTTACATAAAACCAGTTGTAGGACAGACAATTGCCAGATAGAATTTGTAGGTGATAGATTTGAAGGGCATATGAAAACATTTGTAGGTGTAGAGAACAGGACAGAAGTTGGTGGTTGATTTATAGGGCAGACAAAACACTAATTGTTGTAGGGCAGAGAAATTTGTTTGTATTTTATGACCTTTCAACAGCTATGGCCATTAAAGGATGTACAGGGTTTTGTTGGTGGAGGAAAGCAGGAGTACCCCGAAAAACCCACCGAGCTGCAGCAAGTAACTGGTGACTGCCCCATGTAGGCCTCAAACCTGCGACCCAATGGTGGAGGGCTAGTGAATGTAGAGTGCCTGAAACCTCAACAGCTTGGCCACAGTCACTCCCTGAAGGACAGAAAAGACCAAAGTTGTGGATGGTAGAGTCTACGACAAACAAAATGCAGTTTGTTTTATGGAAGAGTTGTAACACAGACAACACACAATTTGTGGTAGAGTTGTAGGGTAGACCAGACATAATTTGTGGGTGGTAGAGTTGTAGGGTAGACCAGACATAATTTGTGGGTGGTAAAGTTGTAGGGTAGACCAGACATAATTTGTGGGTGGTAAAGTTGTAGGGTAGACCAGACATAATTTGTGGGTGGTCGAGTTGTAGGGAAGACCAGGCAAAATTTTTGGGTGGTAAAGTTGTAGGGTAGACCAGACATAATTTGTGGGTGGTAGAGTTGTAGGGAAGACCAGGCAAAATTTGTGGGTGGTAAAGTTGTAGGGTAGACCAGACATAATTTGTGGGTGGTAGAGTTGTAGGGTAGACCAGGCGAAATTTGAGTGTGGTTGAAATTTTGTATTTACACCAATTTGTGGGTAGTAGAGTCGAAGGACACGCAAGTCACAATTTGTAGATGGTAGAGTTGCAATCTGATTAAAATCATATGTTATGTCATGGCTTCGTTAACTTCGTACTACGCCTGAACATCTGAGTGTGCCGCGGTCAGGGTCACGTTCAGGTGACCTTTATATTTATAAATACTCATTAAATTTTGACCAATCAGAGGCCCTCTTTCAAAAGGGCGCTTGGAGTTGTAACAAATATGTCGGACATTGATGAGAATGATGCTGAAGTTCTGAAGTTATTTGAGACTGAATGTCTGAAACTCGAACAGAAAAAGAAGAAAAAAGCTCTATTAGAGAAGAAAGACTGTATGGTGGTGTTGCCTACGCAATTATTACCAAATGGGTACGATTTCCTTGGGGTTGTAGTAACGTCAGTTCCCGCCGCCATATTTGTTTTGGAAAATTAATCTGTTCGATACCCCTCACTATTTATCTATCAACCATGATATTCCGATTCACTGGCAAAAGTTTGCCAGCGCGCCTCTGATTGGTTCATCTAAAGGTCACTTGAACGTGACCCTGACCGCCGCACATTCAGATGTTCAGGCAGAGCCATGTAACAGATGATTTTAATCAGTTTGGTAGAGTTGTAGGGCAGAAATATTTAGTTCATGTTAATGTACAACTATGGTCATTTAAGGAATTGCTAGGTTTTGTTGGTGGAGAAAAGCGGGAATACCCAGAGAAAAGCACTAACTGCAGCAAGTACCTGACAAAGTCCCCATGTAGACCTCAAACCATGTACCCAGTGGTGTAGGGGGCTAGTGATTGTAGACGGACAGACGCCTTCACAAGTCGGACATGGCGACCCCCTCTAGGACAGAAAAAGAATTGTTTGTGGTACAGTAATAAGCAGACAAAATACAATGTGTTTTAGAGTTGAAAGGTACACATGGCAGAAGTGAAGGAATAAATACCTATGTAGTTGAGATAAAGAAAAGACAATATGTGGGTGGTAGAGTTGTTGGACAGGGAAGACATTTGTAAATGGTAGAATTGTAAAACAGACGAGACACAATTTGTAGATAGAGTCTAAGGACAGGCAAGACCCTATTTGTGGGTGGTAGAATTAAAACACAGACAAGACATGTGCACCGTCTGTCAGTTATAGTGCAGACAATACAATTTGTGGGTGGTAGACAAGACACAATTTCTGATTGGTCAATTTTAGGACAGACAAGACACAATTTGTTAGCAGTAGAGTTGTCTGGTAGACCAGGCATAATTTGAGGGTGGTAGGGTAAATGGATAAAACAGTAATTTGTAGGTGGTTGAGTCAAAGGGAAATGCAAGTCACCATTTGTCTATTGTTCATTCGAAGGACAGACAAGACTGTTCAGTTGAAGGACAGACAAGACACAAATTGTGGGTGGTAGAGTTGTAGGACAGACAAGACACAATATGCGGGTGGTAGAGTTGTAGGACAGACAAGACACAATATGTGGGTGGTAGAGTTGTAGGACAGACAAGACACAATGGTGGTAGAGTTGTAGGACAGAAAAGACCATGTTTTGGTGGTAGAGTTATAGGACTTGCAAGACAATTTGTGGATTGTTAAGTTGAAGGACAAACAAGACACAATTTGCGGGTGGTAGAGATGTACGATAATCAAGACACAATATGCGGTTGGTAGAGTTAAAAGACTGGCAAAATAGATTACTGTCTGTCAGTTATGAGGCAGACAAGATACAATTTGCAAGTTGTAGGACAGACAAGACACAATTTGTGGGTGGTAGAGTTTTATGATAAACAAGTCACAATATGCGGGTTGTAGAGTTGTAAGACAGACGAAACACAATTTGTGGGTGGTAGAGTTATAGGACTTGCAAGACAATTTGTGGATTGTTAAGTTGAAGGACAGACAAGACGCAATGTGTGGGTGGTAGAGATGTACGATAATCAAGACACAATATGCGGTTTGTAGAGTTAAAAGACTGGCAAATTATATTACTGTCTGTCAGTTATGAGGCAGACAAGATACAATTTGCAAGTTGTAGGACAGACAAGACACAATTTGTTAGTGGTAGAATTTTAGGGTAGACCAGGCATAATTTGAGTGTGGT